CCTCTCCATCTCTCTGCCTGTCCACCCCACTGTCTCTGCACCTCTCCATTTCTCTGCCTGTCCACCCCACTGTCTCTGCAGCTCTCCGCCTCTCCATCTCTCTACCTCCTTGTCCTCCTTTCAGACCCCTCCTCACAGACCAAGATTTCCATCACTTGACATGTTATTTCTTTCTATGATTCAATATCTGATTATGCCTTATTTATGTTTCTGTGAATAATCTGGAGAGGTTATGGTGTGAGATAGGTGCTACATAAATGTATGTTGTTGACTGTGAGAGAACAGTCTAAGTGAGAGCCAGAAGAGAGCAGACAATCTCTCAGGGCTGAACAATTCTCCTGATGCTCAGAGCATCCCAAATACATCCTTCACTCGGCAATCAGTACATCCCTCACTCAGCGATACATCCCTCACTCAGCGATACATCCCTCACTCAGCAATCAGTACATCCCTCACTCAGCAATCAGTACATCCCTCACTCAGCAATACATCCCTCACTCAGTAATATATCCCTCACTCAGCAATCAATTCATCCCTCACTCAGTAATACATCCCTCACTCAGTAATATATCCCTCACTCAGCAATCAATTCATCCCTCACTCAGTAATACATCCCTCACTCAGTAATACATCCCTCACTCAGTAATGCATCTCTCACTCAGCGATACATCCCTCACTCAGCGATACATCCCTCACTCAGCGATGCATCCCTCACTCAGCGATGCATCCCTCACTCAGCGATACATCCCTCACTCAGCGATGCATCCCTCACTCAGCGATGCATCCCTCACTCAGCAATACACCCGTCACTCAGCGATTACCCCCACTCTTCATTGTCCATGTCATTAGCTGGCAGTTTTGAATATAAAAGGCTAATCTATTTCAAGTCTTTAAGTCAATTAAAGGATTTGACGAGTATTTGAAGAGAAACTGTCTCCATTGATGAAGGAGTCCAGTACAAAGGGACATCTTAAAGTTAGAGACAGGACATCAGGGGGATGTCAGGAAGAATTTCTCTGCACTGTTGGGTGCAGGTTTACACACATTCATTCATAGTGCACAGGGAGAGTCCTTTTTAACACTAGTTATAATGAAGTAAATACAAGGAATTCATCCCTTTTATACACATCTGTATGTTCTGTATTTCAAATTCCAAACTTGTCTGCACATAATCACTTCAAAAACAGATGTCTCCCATCCCAGGTACATACCTTCCTACACCCGAATAAAGTCTCTTCTATCATCACTCGGCTCTCCCTGATAGTTGTTTGTTTCAACCCAATCCTCCACTTCTGTCTCTGAACCAGTCAAATCTTTATCCTTTATAGGCCTTTCTGGAAGGTTCCCGCTGTTATTGGCCTTTATAGTGTGCTGGGTTCATTGATGAAATCTACTCTATTAATTCTACTCAGGGTACAGACCACTGTTCAACCCTTAATGTCTCATTAACTCTTACAGTTCCCCCTTTGGGTCCTTGGCCTAGGCCAGAGTAGCCAATACCATGGCTTTGTCTAATTCCTTCACACTTGGTCATGCATCAACACTGGCCAGGTGCTCAGCTGAGGACTGTAAAGGTACAGGATCAGACTGTCTGTGCCAGTTGGTCCTTTGCTGAAGATTCTGAATCAGCACCATGTGGTGCTCGATCACACCATGTCCTGTGTGACCTCCTACTGAAATAAATCTGCTGGTTAATAACCCAAGCAGAGGAGATTATCCAAATCCATGGGTATGTCTGTATGTTCAATCCCCAATTCCACAGTTCCTCCTTCCAGCTGGTAGTGTTTATACACTCACTGTTGTAAGGAAGGCTTTGAGTCAGTTGTTCCTGGACTGTATGGCATATCCCGTACACTCGCTGTGCCCCATCCCAGAATACGGTGAGGTATTCGGGGATGACAGAGAGAACTGGCCCGTTACCTTTTGTACTTTCCACAGCTTAAACATTCAATGTTGTTCTTCATGTCCCTGAACCGGTTCTCCCTTAGCCACTCACTATAGGTGGCAGGAGACTAAATGAGGCAATGATTGTGATCATTGCCATGTGGTATGTATGTGGTTTATGTTGGCTCTATACAGTTTCCATTGTACAATTTACTGAAGCATTATATCCGCATCTTGCCTGCTCTGTTAGTTGAATCAGATGTATTGGAGTTGATTTTAATCCTGGGTCCATCGAGTTCAGACTGACCAGATGACACTCTATCTCTGCTGCGGACGGTGGCATATCTTACAGCAGTTTGTGGAGTGGGACTAATTCTACCCCTGTACTGGTCCGGGGTTATTCCTGGGAAATGGATTGGCGGTGGGTGGTGCTGGGAGGGTAGGGGGCGAGGTGGGTGTGGGAAGGTGGTGTAGAATCCACAGGCCGTTCCCTTTCCACGGTTTCTGACTCCACCACTCAACCTTCCCCTCCACAGCAAGTCCAACTGGATGGCACAGAGGTAAAGCACAGACTGCGCCAGCTGCTGCCCAGCACCAGCTACACCATCAAGCTGCACGCCTTGCGGGACGGTGAGAGGGCGGCCGCTGTGACCACACGCTTCAACACAGGTACACAGAGCGAATTCCCACTGTCCCCCACCCATACCCCTACCCCCCTATCCCCTACTCCTACCCCTACCCTCACCTGCACCACCCCATCCCCAAATCCCCACCATCAACAGGCTTCTGTTTGTGGGCAACACAGGCACGCCCCTGTCTCTCTCTGCACAGAGAATTGTGATCCCTACAGTGTGAAAAGCATGCCACCCCACCCCTCGCCCAACACTCGGAAGAGTGTCCCACCCAGACCCACCCGCCTACCCTCTCCCCATAACCCTGTATTTCTCATGTCTAACCCACCTAATCTACACGTTACTGAACACCATGGGACAATTTAGCATGGCCAATCCACCTAGCCTGCACATCTTTGGACTGTGGGAGGAAACCGGAGCACCCGGAGGAAACCCACACAGACACGGGGAGAATGTGCAA